CTCTCTCTCTCTCTCTCTCTCTCTCTCTCTCTCTCTTCTTTCTTTCTTTCTCTTTCCTTTTTTCAGATAGGGTCTTGTAACCTAGTCTGAACTTGAACTCCTTTATGTAGTAAAGGATCACCTTGAGCCTCTGATCATGCTTCCACCCCCCGTAGTCCTGGGCTTACAGGTGTGCACCACCTTGCCCAGCTTATGTGGTGCTGGGGTTGGAGCCCCAGGGTATTGCGCATACTAGGCAAGCACTCTACCAAATGAGCTACAGTCCTGGACCCTGGTTTTTGCACTTTTTGAGAGACATGAACTCAACAGGAAATGCACGTGAACGGGGAGAGGCAGCAGCTATGGGGCAATGATCCTGTCTACAGAGAGGGGATGAGAAGGGAAGTCATAGATGGCGCACGCCTTTAATCCCAGCACTCGGGAGGAAGAGGCAGCTGGATCTGTGAGTTTAAGGCCAGCCTGGTCTACATAGTGAGTTCCAGGACAGCTGGTGCTACAGGGAGACCCTGTCTCAAAAAGACCAAAAAAAAAAAAAAAAAAAAGAAGGGAAGTCACTTCTAGTTTTGAGGATCTAGACTTTGAAATCTGCGTTCGCTTCCTTGATCATTGGAAAACAAACCGGAGTCAGAATCAGTGCAAAGCCTGAGAATTAGGATCCTGACTTGGAATCACAGGTCGCACACAGGCTAACCCATGGCCTGGGGTAAGTTACACAGTCACACCCCCATGAGGCCTGATTGCTCATCTGTGGAACCAGAACACACATAACAGCTACTTGGTGGGGGGTCTCCGTGAGACTCCATGGAAGAGTGGGAGGTCCCAGCCTGGCCCTCGGCTCTCTTCCCACAACGGATCCCTTCTCTCTTACAGACCTTCCTTCCAAATGGGCTCTCCCTTTTACCGAGTCCTCTTTTTGGTTGGCTTCTGTGCTCCAATCTACTGCATGTCCTCAACCAGGGCCCCCAGCAGAGGGTACCCCCAGCCTCCTTCCATGAAGAGCACCCCGGCCTCTCAAGTGTCTCCCAGCAACACCAAGTTCGCCTTCTTTCTGTACCAGAGGCTGGCTCAGAAAAGCCCAGGTCAGAACATCTTCTTCTCCCCCGTGAGCATCTCCACCTCCCTGGCAATGCTGTCCCTGGGAGCCCGCTCAGCCACCAAGACTCAGCTCCTCCAGGGCCTGGGCTTCAATCTCACACACACGCCGGAGCCCACCATCCACCTGGGCTTCCAGCAGCTGGTCCACTCGCTGAATGTGCCCAGCAAAGTCCTGGGCTTGAGGATGGGCAGTGTGCTCTTCATCCAAAAGGGGCTGCAGGTACAGATGAATTTCCTGGACAGGGTCAAGAGACTCTATGAGACAAACGTCTTTTCTGCGGACTTCTCAAATACTGCCACAGCCCAGGCGAGGATCAACAGCTATGTGGAGAAGGAGACCAAAGGAAAGGTTGTAGATGTAATCCAAGACCTTGACTCCCAGACTGCCATGGTCCTGGTGAACCACATTTTCTTTAAAGGTGAGGTTGCTTTGTCTGCTTTTCCTTTTTCTCTTTTCTTTGTACTGTTTTTGAGGCAGGATCTTGTGTATTCGAAGCTGGCCTACAACTTGCCATGTAGCTGAAGGGGATCTTGAACTTCTGCTCCTCCTGCCTCCACACCCTTAGCGCTGATACTACAGGCGTGTGCGACCACACCACATTTATGCAGTCCTGGGGATTACTGAGCCCAGGGATTGCTACATGCTGGGAGAATGCTGAGACACATCCACAGCCCACCCTTGATTTTTACCAAGACAGAAGGGTGGAGAGCATGGGGGCCTGAGTTTTCATCAGCTTTGCAAACACCAGGCTGCACACTCAGGTGTCTGCTCCCCTCTCCTAGCTGCTGTTCGCTAATAACCGTTCAGCTCTATCTTTGCATAGACCTAGGGCCTGTCCTGAGGGACTGGCTGACACTGGGCTCAGTGGAGAGGCCCCTTGGAAACATACCCTAGAACTAGTTTGGAGAAAATATCTTGTGTTTTGCTACCAGAAACTGCCCCACTACTCCCTGGAGGCTTCACAGGTGGTGGCACAGAGCTCCCTGACGCCCTAATTTAAAAAGTCATTTCAATGGCAAGAAGTTTCTCAGTTTAGAAATGTAGACAGGCTGGTAATGGTCACATCTGTCTAGGACTTGGCTGTTTACAAAGACACTGTATTGAACAACACTTTACTGAATTCAGATGTTTTGGTTATGTAGTTATGTAGTTATGTATGTATGTATGTATGTATAGACAGGGTCTCACTCTTGGTTTCACTCCTAGTCCTGGCTGGCTTAGAACTTGTATCAATCCCCCTGCCTCTGCCCCTGAGTCCTGGAATTACAGATGTGTAATGCCATGCCCAGCTTCAGAAACCTTGCACTTAACAGCATAATTTCTTTCTTTATTTCTTTATGTGGACTCAAGTGACTATCTCCTTTCAGCCAGAGGAATTTCCCTTGGCACTGGAGGAGGTTTTGCTCTTATTTTTTGAAGCTATTGTTTGGTCCCCAAGATTTTTGGTAAAAAACCATCTGCTAATCTTACTGAAGACATTTCACATGCCTTCAAATCCCTTGTGAGGTTTTTATCATTGTCTTTGACTTTTGGTTCATTGATTATGACGTGAGTAGATGTGGATCTTTGTAGCCTCTCTCTTCCTGTTTGGATTCCTACTGCATGTTTATTGCTGTGCTAGTTGATGTATTACAGGACTCTGAGGTACTTTTCCTTTTTCTCTGTCTTTTTTCTGTGTATTCCTCATCTTATAGAATCTTAATTGATACATTATTTAGGTTACTGGTCATTTTCTTCCCACTGGCTCTAATCCACTATTGTGCCCCTCTAGTGAAATTTTTGTTCAGTTATCAAATTTTCCAACTCTAGACTCTCTCTTTGATGACTTAAAATCATTTCTCTTTATTGAGAGCTGATACCTATTCAAAGCTGTTTGTTTGGAATATGTTCAAAATAGCTCTTTTGAAGTCTTTGATTAATAAGGCCCATATCTGGATTTCTTAGGAACACTTTCATTAATCATTCCCCTTCTCAGTGCTTGGGAATACATATTCTTGCTTCTTTACACGCCTCATTTGTTTTAAGCCAGGCATTTTAAACAATTTAAGTCAGTTCTAGACGTGAGCTTCTTCCTCTTGCCAAAAGTTCCTTTATTTTATGTGTATAAGTGTCTTTTGTTTGTATTATGTAAATGCTCCCACATCACACAATGCCCATGGAGGCCAGAAGAGGATGGCAGATCCCCTGGAACTAGAGTTACAGATGGTTGTTAGCCACCATGTGGGTGCTGGGAACTGAACCTGTGTCCTCTGCAAGAGAAGCCAGTGCTCTTGACAGCTGGGCCACCTCTCCAGCTCCCAAGGTTTTACTCTTGGTGCTGTTCATTGTAGTAATTGTTTAGTGGTTTTTCAGAATGAATTCTTTAAATCTGAACTTTGTCACATGTGGCTACTAACATTTCTCTTCTTGGCTAGTTAAATGATCAGTTGTGATGGAGCCATAATGGCATTTTTTATATGCCCAAGGCAAACAGATCTCCAAGTCTTTGCTGAGGGTCGCTGTGTACAGACTGCAGCTTGCCGTCCACACTCAGCTCAGCAGTCTGCAATCTTGACTCAAGCTTCACTTTCATTTGTTCAGACCCAAGGGTCGTGGGGATGAGAGCTCTGAAACTCCCAAGTATTTCTCAAGATCTTTACAGCTTCACTTACATATGTGGTCATGCGTGCTGAAGATGTGCTAGTAGTTTCCAAAGCTGTCAACATTGCATTCTTTAGACATTCTTTTATTTATTTTTATGGCTCTGCCATTTTCCCTATCTTTTATCACCATCCAGTCAGGGAGTGAAGACACCTGTGTGTAATTACATTTGAAAAATACTCCCACAGCTCTAGGAAGAAGGTGTTGGGCACTGAGTAGTGCCAATCAGCAGTGTCAGGGAGGTCTTCAGGAACCTTTAGGCAGGTCGCATCATTATAATTGTTTGATTATGATGCATTGAAAGTCTGCAGCTCTGTTCCTCTCCCTCTGGTTTCATGAGTCTAATTTCCAAGGCTACTGCAGACCTGGGAGAATGAGGGCTGGGACTAGTGCTAGTAAAAGTGCCACAGAGCTGGCTGCTCTCATCAAGATTTGGCCATTTTTCTTCAATGTACCCTCTTCATGTTGCCACAGAACTTTGAGTCCCAGAGTTCTAAAGAAATTATTGTAGCCATGTTTAGAGAAAGGTGGATATGTGGAGGGACTCACTTTATCATCTCTGAAGGGCCCACCCCTCCGTTTGTCCTCTTAAGCTTTTGGGTAGCGCATTATTTGCCGTAACTGTTACGTACTGCCCGAGGCAGCTGCAGAATTTATCACCGCCTGCCACTCTCTTGGCCAATGGCATCAGGAAAAAGAACTTGCATTGGCTGAACTCCAGGTCAGATTACAGACAGCTGTGTAAGTCATCCTCCAGGACTGCACAAGGCAGCTCAGATAAGCACAGTTCTTTCGGAATGAGTCTTCCTGTTGTTTTGAGAGTGCATTCTCTTCCTGTAGCCTAAGCTAGCCTCAAACTCACGATCTTCCTGCCTCAGCCTCCCAAGTGCTGGGATTACAGGTGCGAGCCACTGTGCCAGAACAAGTCTTTATAGTATTCCAGTCCCATTTGGATTTCACAGCTAATGCTGGCTGTTATTTTTCAAGATCATACAGAGGTGGGGAATGTAGTATAGGAAGAGGGTAAGTTAGACCACCACGGACTGCACAGCTTCTATTAAGATGCAGATGGTTTTTCTTTAATATTTTGTTTCCCAATTAGCTGTAAGTTTTAATTTTTCTAGAGTTCTAAAATAATTTATTCTGAACATTGTTGATAGGAAGAGGGTAAGTTAGACCACCACGGACTGCACAGCTTCTATTAAGATGCAGATGGTTTTTCTTTAATATTTTGTTTCCCAATTAGCTGTAAGTTTTAATTTTTCTAGAGTGTGTGTGTGTGTGTGTGTGTGTGTGTGTGTGTGTGTGTGTGATTAGGGACTGAACTCTGGGCCTTGCACTTGCTAACAAGCACTCTACCATCTGTCACTTTTACCAAGAAGTGAGTTTTCAGAAGGCCCCGCTTCCCCTTCTCCCTGTTTTCACCGGTTGTACTGATATAAAGTTCTGCCGTCTTCCTTCATGCCAGCCAATTGGACGCAGCCCTTTAGCCCTGCAAACACAAACAGAAGCTTCCCATTCATGCTGGGTAAGAGAACCACTGTGCATATCCCCATGATGCACCAGACAGAGATGTTTGCTTTTGGAGTGGACCCAGAGCTGGGCTGCTCTGTGCTGCAGATGGACTACAGGGGAGACGCTGCAGCCTTCTTTGTCCTCCCTGACAAGGGCAAGATGAGGCAGCTGGAGCAGGCCCTGTCGGCCAGGACGCTGAGAAAGTGGAGCCACTCACTCCAGAAGAGGTGGGCATCTTGCTTCCCAATTTCCTGGGACCTGTGCATCCAAGGATGGGGGTGAGGGTAAGAACTGTGATAGCGGCTACTGAGTAATAAGTCCTGCACACTGAACACCATGCCGAACAGGAGCCCAGTAGTGTGTGTACAGACATTCACATGTGAACTTCGCCATGACATGAGCAGTCCCATCATCTTCTTCCCACTTCACAGATGGAAACAGAGGCTCTTTGAGGGTAGGTGAATCACCCAAGGTCACTTCTGCAGAGCTCTTCTTTCACTGTGGCATTGCGTCCTAGTCCTAGCAGAGTTCACATTAGAAGCCAAGACAATATTGTGAGCCACAGAGCCTTTTGTAAAAACCAGCAAGCCAGCGAGCAAACAAAAGCACTGGCACTTATCTATAGGATGAGGATCAAATATCACTGAACCAATAGCTTGTTGGAACCATGTTACTACTTAGAAAGTGCTTTGAAGAATGCCTGGACGGTAGTAAGAGTTCCATAAGTGTCAGCAAATAGCAACATTGCTATTAGTTCTGCACATATTGTGGAGGATATGAGGAAGACATTCATTATACAATTATAAAGGACTGCTGAAACTTTTTCATTCTCTTTATAATATTTCCCTGGCATCTTCAGTGTCATTACTGGGTATTTACAATCTACGAAGAAGTAAAACATAAGGTTGATAATAACTGTACTTCAGAGAAAACCAGGATCAATGTCCCAGAGAAGGCGGGCAAAATGCCAAGGGTCTCATAAGCAGAGGGAGATGACGTTCATCTGGGGGAATGCTTCAAGGCGGTGACATCTAGCCACAAGTATGGAAATGTTACCAATGATCTGGTGCTGGGCCTGGTGTTTCCAGGTTCTTGGCTTTTATTCAAGAACAAAATAAAAGCCCACACAGACTAAAAAGTAGCAAGGCAACTTTATTCAAAGCAAAACAATAGATTGTACAGGTCAGAAAGAAATACCTGGCAAGACTGATAGCAGGTCGGAGAGAGTCAATGACCCCAGTTATTACTGGGGGCTCCTTTTATGGAATTCAAGAGAAAAAAGAATTTGGTTATTAAGGGGCATAGTGAAGGTGGTTCTCTGTTTTGGTTGATAGATTAGGTCATATAACCATTTTTCTAATGCACATGTCTCTTCCCATAATGTATCTGATGTTAATCATAAGCATGTTGAATTACTCATAGGCCTAAGATGGTAAATAAGGGATTCTCCCTAAAAGTTCACTCAAGGACACATGGCTTATGTGTACCCTCCACAATCAATCAATCAATCAATCACTCAATCAATGTGCAACATTTTAAAAATAAGTAAATAAACCTGAGAGTTTAGCTCCTTGTTTGCATGCGGCACAGCTCAGATTTTTCAGGAGCCACACGTAGGCAGAGGCTACCGTACGAGGCAGTGCAGGCAGAGATATATTCCCAGCATGGTTGGAGTGTTCTGCTGGGCTTTGCTGCTCTAGGAAATTAGCAGGGTTGTCTCAGGAAGGTCTGCTGGGGAGGGCAGGTGAGCTGTGCAGGGGCGGGTAGGGGAGCTCCTCTCACTACCTGATGTTCCCATGGGTCTGTGCTGGGGTAGCCATGCAGAGTCAGCTTCTCATCTCTGGTCCTTATTTCATTGCGGGGCCCATTAATTTTCTTGCTCATTCATGGGAGGCTCACAGCCAGAGCAACCTGGTGTTTTGGGGCTGGGATGTGTGGGCCACTTTAGGAGTAACCCACAGTGGCTGGAGGAAGCACACCGTCTTCAGAAATGCTATATAGAAGCAGAGATGGGGACACTTGTGACCACACCTTTCCCTTTCCCTTCTCCATAGGTGGATCAAGGTGTTCGTTCCCAAATTTTCCATTTCTGCCTCTTACGACTTGGAAGCTATCCTCCCAAAGATGGGCATCCGTGATGCCTTTGACAAAAATGCTGATTTTTCTGGAATTACAAAGAGACACATCCTGCAGGTTTCTAAAGTGAGTTTGAAGGAAATGTTTGTGAGAAAGCCACAGATGGGGAAGAACTCAACAGGCAGACAAAATGAAATGGTCCCTTCACAGCCAGAAGAAAGGCCAAATCTTCCAGCTGCCAGACATGGGTTTTCCGGCCACTGTACTCTGACCTTCAGGCATCTTTCAGCTCTCCTTGAGTGCTTCTTTAAAAATCAGGCCTGTCCCAAGACCTCTTTGCTAGACTCCTGCTGTGGAAAAGGAGGTGCCTCTGCTGTGAGACCTCACTTGCTTGGTCCCTACTTCCTTCCCACAAGGAAGTTGACGTCCCCCATGCAAATGTTATAATACAGCTTCCCAGGGGCCAATTATATGCTGTCCTGCGGGGGGAGGGGCGGATTTAAAAGTCCAAATTTCTAATCCTATTGGAACAATTCACCGAGGTCAATTCCCACATGATGTAACAATTGTTGGATCTTAGGCTATCCATTTGACAGTACCACCTGGTGACTGATGTCCCCTATGCCCCTGTAGGAGGTCTCTTCTTCCATTGGATCACCTGTCCAGCCCCTGTTTGCATCCAAGTGCAAATTCGTCAGGTCACCTTAACGTTTTAATTTGATATTTGATTGCAACAGTCCAAAGTGGTTCTGGGGACACAGAAAAAGACCTTTGCCACTGGTCCCCAGGGAAGGAAGGCAGAGAGGTCCCACTGGGATATGATGAACCCAGTGGAGCTTTTCCCAAGGAGAACACTCATGGACCTCTGTGAAAGCTCATGTTCTCACTGGGAGTTCCCAGCCCACCCTGCAGCTTGGTCACGAGCTTCAGATGGAGACCCTCCACCCTGGGGGAGTAGCATCAGCCTCTAGTAGCCCCCAGCCCATATCACAGAGTCTGTAGGAGCCACTGACCTTTGTTCCTCATTTTGCAGGCTGCTCACAAAGCTGTGTTGGACGTCAGCGAGGAAGGGACAGAGGCTGCAGCAGCCACCACCACCAAGCTCGTAGTTCGCTCAAAGGATGACCCCACTTTTGTCATCATCTTCAACAGGCCCTTCCTGATATTGGTTCTAGATAAATACACAAACTCTATTCTCTTCCTAGGGAAAGTTGAAAATCCCACCAAGGTGTAGGTGGACTGCTTGCTGAGTGCACGTTGATAACGCACAAGAAAATAAGGAGTGTGGTACATCGTAGCCCAATGGTGATATTGAGACTTGCTTCTTCCTTGCCTGGGGCCTGCCTGACCCCAAGGTGCATGTGCCCCAGGGATGGCACTTCTGGGGCTCAACCATCAAAATAACAACAGAGACACTGATCACAAGCCCAGCCCCAGTCTTTCCAAGACAGTGGTCTCTTCCACCTGTTCTCCACAGCCTCTTTCTGGAGCCCAGCAGGGAAGGCATAGCTCCCTTCCTCACAGCTCTTGGGAAAGATGATACACAGAACTCAGTGCCCTTATCACAGACTCCAGCATCTCATCAATAAATCTGAGATGGGAAGTCAGCGGCAACAGGCCCCCCCACATACCCACGGGGTAATTGAAAACGAGGGGTTTCCCACCTCTCAGAAGCTGTATGAATCCACTTTCTTATTTGCTCAACAGTACTTACTGAGCACTTAGCAAATGCTAGGACAGGGCTCCTGGCATGTTGGGTCGAGACAGGAGACAGATCATTCAAATCAGTGTAACAAAGCTGTGAACAACAACGTTATGACGACTAGGGAAAGTGCCTTGAAGGCTCATAGGATACTCAGGACAGTCACTACAGGGAGCAAGGAGGTGTGGGATCCAGGAGTGAGCCAGCATCACACTGGGGAGGCCCTGTGGCTGGAGCATCATGTCATAGATGGAAAGGTAGAAGCTGGCAGCCAGGTAAGAGGAGGTAGAATTACATAGAAAAAGCACTTTGCCCAGGGAAGCAGTCTGGGTTAGGTAAGGGGTGGGAACAGCAGGCCCATGGGGTTTTTCAGGCAAGAAAATAAGAATGCAACATAGTATGGGTTGTAAAGTCCTCCCTGAGTGCTGGCCACGGTCCTGGCCCTCATCTCTCCACACTGATGTGTCCCCTGTAGCCCCCAGCAGAGCTCAGCTTTCTAAGATGCCTTTTCTGGGGACAATGGTGCCAGTCACCCCAGATGTGCCATCCAGGGACCTCATGCTGGCTTTCCCCACACTCTTTTACTCTGAAAGAAACAAACCTGAAGGGCGTGGGGGAGCTGACACAGACTTTCAGAAGACCCAAATGCCTTGAGCCACACTCCTGCTGTGTTTTATAACTAGGTGGCAGACACCCCCAAGGTTAAACAGCTAATGCAGGCCACAGGGGCTCCCTGACAGAATGGGAAGCAGTTCCAAAGCCGGTACTGGAGACTTTCCCCACCCCTTCCATGGTACTACAGGGAGGGGTCAGAGCTCTGCCCTCAGGCACCCTGGAGAAGGTTCTAGGGGAGAATAGGTCTCTCTCTCTCTTGGGTGCACAAGGAGTCTCCTCTGTTGTTCCCAGAACAGGCCAGATGTCCCATGGGGGCCATGAGGGGCGTGGAAGGTGTGACGAACTGACTAATGATACTTGAGTTGGTCACAGCAAGGGTTTTTGTTATAGTGGATGATGCTGCTCACCTTCTCCCCCACCTTGCTTCCTAGTGGTATTACTTAGACACAACTGCGGGTGTGGCTTATGTCAGCAAGATGTGAGAGCTGTCAGAGCAGATTCTGTGGTGTGTGTGTGTGTGTGTTTGTGTGTGTGTGTGCATGTGGGCTGTCTTTGTGTCTATGTGTATGTGTCTGTGTGGTGTTGTAACTATGTGGTGCTGGTATGTCTGTGTGTGGGTATGTGTGTGTGTGGGTGCTGGTATGTCAGTTCACTGTGTGGGTCTGTGTGCATGTTTTGTGTGTATGTGTGTCTGTATGTCTGTATGTTTGTGTGTATGCGTGGTGTGTATGTGCCTGTGTGTTTGTATATCTGTGTGTCTGTCTGTGATTGTGTGTGTGTGTGTGTGTGTGGTCTGTGTGTCTCTATGTGTGACTGTATAGTATGTGTCTGTGGTTTGTGTGAGTGTGTGTGACTGTGTGGTATATGTCTGTGTGGTTTATGTGTGTGTGTGACTATGTGGTGTGTCTATGTGTGTGTCCATGTGTTTGTGTGTGTAACTGTATGGTGAGTGCTTCTGTGTCTATGTGGTGTGTATGTGGTGTGTGTCTCTGTGTCTATGATGTGTGTCTGTGTCTGTATGGTGTCTCAGTTCACTGTTACTTGAGATGTTTATCTTTCACATCTGTTTTTAAATGTCCTCATATTGTTTGAAAATTCCTTTTAATCAAGTGTGGTAGGTGACAGAGACAATTACCTTTGCAGGAAGAGCTTGTTTCCTAGTGTGCCTGAGAGAAGAGGGCATCACATCACACAAGGCTCCTGGGGGAGCCGGGGTGGTGAGAGGCAGAGCACCCAGGAAAAGCATGGGCCACTGGCGAGCTCTGTAGCTGTGAGGAAGAGGCAGGTGAGGCGTCCTCTACTGGGATGGAAGCCAAACAAGGTTGGAAGGCTTGTGGAATGTTGCCATCTGTGGAAAAATGCCACCCCATGGGAGAGAGTCCATGACTTCATCAGCTACAGAATACCAAGAGTGACCACCACAGTCCGGCGCGAGAGTCCCACCCAAGGCAGAGTGACACTGTTCTAAAAGCAGATGCAGCCAAGAGAGACCAATGAGACAAGACCCCCAAAGAGCATCTAAACAAACAAACAAACCACAGGTTCCCAGTCCTGAGCTCAGGGCACCAGGCCCTGAGCTGTTCATACAAGGCCAAAGGCAGCTGCCCAATTTCTAGCTGTAATGATTAACACTGTCAACTTGAGAGGCTCTAGAATCATGGAGAAGACGAGGCTCTGGGCATGTCTGTGAGGGATTATCTGGACCAAGTTAACTGAGGTGAGAGACCTCATGTGGGTGGCACCATTCCCTGGGCTTGGGCCTTGGAGTAAGTAAAAGGAGAAAGTGGGCTGAGCAGTGAGTCCACCCCTCTCTGCTTCCTGACTGTGGATGCTGTGTGACGAGCTGCCTCAAGCTCCTGCCACTGTGACTTCTGAACCCTTGGACTATGAGGCACAGTAAACCTTCCCTTCTGCCTACTGCTTTCGTCAGGTATTTTGTCACAGCAACAAGACAAGAACCTATCACACTAGCCAAGCTCTGTCTCGCCAGGAAGCTTCTCGATGGAAAACGCTTCTTCCTTCTTTTAGCCAGTCCTTAGGTGTATCACTGTGATTTGGTTGGCCAGGACGTGCAGCTGTCTCGTCCCCTATGGTATCTGATTAGAGTCTTTCCTATGCTTACCAGCCTTCAGAGTGGATGACTGTGCTGGCTCCACCGCTGTTACCTAAGCACCTTAGAATGTAAATAAAAACAATGATCACCCATTCCTGTCTGTGCAGGAGATTTTAATGTACATTGCAGACAATGTGGGCACTCTCCTCTGGGCACCAGACATGAAGATTTTCTAAGTAGGTGTCAGTTCTTTGCCACCTGCCCAGTGAGTCAGTCTTCAGGCATTTAACCAACTGAACACCAATGACAAACAGCCCTGAGGTTGAGGTATCTTCAAGAATGACCCCTACCTTGTGGAGTGCACAGTCAAAGAGGTGGCAGAGGAGAGGTGGCAGAGGCTAGTTCAATGGGGCCCTTAAGACAATAAAAAGTTATTTGTGTGAATCTAAAGCACTCATACTGATCACCCATTCCTGTCTGTGCAGGAGATTTTAATGTACATTGCAGACAATGTGGGCACTCTCCTCTGGGCACCAGACATGAAGATTTTCTAAGTAGGTGTCAGTTCTTTGCCACCTGCCCAGTGAGTCAGTCTTCAGGCATTTAACCAACTGAACACCAATGACAAACAGCCCCGAGGTTGAGGTACCTTCAAGAATGACCCCTACCTTGTGGAGTGCACAGAGGAGAGGTGGCAGAGGCTAGTTCAATGGGGCCCTTAAGACAATAAAAAGTTATTTGTGTGAATCTAAAGCACTCATACAGGTAACAGTGTTGGAAACATCCTGAGTGCAGTGCCAAATGCCATCACTTTTTATGTACCTGCCCTGCAAGGCACGGGCACAGGGAAGAGCTGCTGCTGGGATGGGGCCGAGGGGGCCTCGCATGCAAGATGGGTACCCAGAATACAGACAAGAGGCAAAAAGGGACCAAGCTCAAGATGGAGGATCGCAAAGGGGTTTAGTTCCAACACTCCATGATGGGAAGTCAGCTCAGCTACCCCTGACTATGCATCCTTCAGGTACTTGGTTTAATCTCCATAATCCCCCTTCTAAGAACCTGTGGCTCTGGTATCATTAGGTTGTCCCATAAGCAAACACATGGGACGTGCTGGGGAGGGCAATCCACCTACCTCCCCAATACCCCATCCATCCTCCAAGGCATTCATGACACCTAGAAGCCAGAATCCCCTGGCCTTCTTGGAGCTCAGAACCAACTGCAGATGCTCCCTTTCTGTTCCTTGGTGTGTGGCTGTTCTCCTGTGGTAATACACCTCTTCTCCACAGCACAGGGAAACCCACATAAAATGGGAACAGGGCAGTGTAAAATCTCTCTGTACCAGGTATTTAAAGAATTAATAAAGGATGCTGGTGTGGCTCTTGTGATAATCATACTAATGACAAGCAGAAGAGTTTAAGGGATTTTCAAAAGCCCTTGCCAACATGTTTGCTTACTGGTCATTTAGAACAGGAGGCCAGGGAAGAGGCTGTCAACACAAGTGAGGAAGAGGAGATGGGTTAGTGGCAGCTGGGGTTGGGAGCAGACATTCTAGAGGGGATCCCTAGAGGAGGGCAGATACTGTCAGCAGGCAGGGACATGTGCTCTTCAATAGAAAGCCAGGCCCATGCTGCCACAGCCAGTGTAAGGTGGCTACTGGGAGGGTAGGCCCCTTGGGAGAGCATTTTGGAGAACCCGTGGCAGGAAGGCAGGACTCAAAGCAGTCATCTGAGAGCCGGGAGTTCAAATTCGGCACTCTGTTCTGGGGAGTAGCGTATGAGTTTCAGGGAGATTCTGGAAGAGAAAGGCAGAAAGGTTAATTATTGACATGACAGCTTCTCCAGTTGCACTGGCTGCTAGGAGACACAGAACTTCAAGCAGCCACTCGAGCTCCAGAACTTCAGGAGGCCACCTGTGGCAGGCACCTATGGCACACATGGGTCATCACCTTTCACTCTGAGAGCATCCTGCAAAGTAGGGCCCACTTCCTCCCTTATAGAACAGGAAGCTGAGCCTCAGACGACAAGTCACTCACTCGAGCGGCCCCACACAGCCTCTCCTCCCTGGAGCTCCAGCCTCACCCCCTCTCCCCACACTGTAGTTCTCACAGTACTCCATCCACAGCGATGACAGGAAAGAGAAGAGACTGAGGAGCTCCATTTCAAATTCAGGTCGTCAGCCTTGCTGGCAGGCACCGCTACCCACTGGCTGCCATATTGCCAGCTCTGCATGGCAAGAATTTGAAAGTGGCTCTAGGTCTCTCCCTGGAAGCAGAAAGTCGAGGATAATCAAGATCAGGAGAGGACCAGACATTACCAGCTGCCTCCAAATGCTTCAGAAAGAAGCTGGGTCATATGGATCAGGGAAAGTGACAGTCTCACCACGGGAGAATTGGGGCCAATCTCCTGGGAAACTTTATACTTTACACGTGTTCCTTGGATGATGAAAGCTATTTGCAGAATTAAAGAATTTTACCTTTTAATATTGAAATTGTCCTGATTTTATTGTGAGAAAGCTACATGCTCTATAAGAAATTTGGAGAATACAAAAACTTAGAAAGGGGCTTGAGGATGTAGCTCAGTAGGTAAAGTGCTTGCCCAGTAAGCATTAGGATGTGGGTCCAATCCCCAGCACCCATGTAAAAAGAAGGGCACAGACTTGCACATTTGTAATCCTGGCACCAGGGACATGGAGACTGTTGGATTCCTGGGGGTCCCTGGCCAGCCAGCATAGCCTGATCAGCAAGCTGCACAGCCCAACAGAAGACCCTGTCTCAAAAAGCAATGTGGTGTGGGGTGTGGTGGGGCATGCTTTTCATCCCAGCACTCTGGGAGGCAGAGGCAGGTGGGTCTCTGTAAGATGGAGGCCAGCCTGGTCTATATAGTGAGTTCCAGGCCAGCTGGGGCTACAGGAAGACAGGGTCTCAAAACAAAACAAAACAAAAAAACCAAGGTGCATGGCTCCTGAGGAACAACACCCTCTAGGATTGATCTGTATCCTTCACATGCACACGTACATGTATGTCCCCCCCCCACGCACAACTTAACAAAACATAAAAGTCACTTTTGTTCCATCAGTGAGCGATTATCTCATGAGTAAGCAAAAGCCTACTATCCCACTTCATAGGTCTTTCAACATGGCTCCAGTTACTCCAGTGCCCCACTCTCTGTTCACAGATTTTACTTATTTGAAGCGTCAGTAAGATGCTGGGATGCTTTGGTGTGGGGAGAAGGCTTGGAGTAACTTGTGAGCAAGCCACTTGCTCTGAGGCTTCCATATGCACAGTAGGGCCGGCCACACCTTCCTCATCTACTCATCACCAGGGTGACCGGCTCTTACAGAGCCCCATCGCACAGGTCAGCAGCTCCCACACTGCCCCCGTCACCACCAGTGTCAGCACAGGTCACTCGCTTGTTTGCAGGAAAGGCAGCCAGGACACACACACTGGAAAAAGATCCCTTTGCATTTGT